TGCCCAGCAGCGGGGCCTGCGGACTGTGTCAGTCACCACAGGAAGCAGACCCAGCTGGTCCAGGAGCGAAGCCATTAGTGTGTTGGGTGCTGTGACCCCCAAGGAAGGAACCCAGAGAGCCCTGCAGGGTTGTGTGGCGTGGCTGCAGGTCCAGAGCGAGGGTCCCGATCCTTCCGAGTTGCCTTGTGGCGGCGCTGACGGGCAGGTGGTGATGCTAGCCAGGAAGCACACAGACCTGGCACCGCGCATGCAGACACACCACTGCAGGGCCTGGGTGGATGCAGACGCAGAGCGCTGAGGCTCGCACGGGTTTGCATTGCCTCATTCCTGCCCAAAGTGAGGTGGCACCCCCACCCCAGATCACAGTGTGGGGACTGGAGGAGGGCTGGGGGCTGCCGCTGCCTCTGAGATGGGCCCCACCCACCCCCGAAAGCCAGGATCTGAGCCCAAGAGCAGGAGCTGCAGGGAAGAGTGAGGCATGGTCCTGCTCTGCGTGCAGGTGAGGAAGTGTGGTGTCCGTGGGACCCGGGACTTCCTGATCCCCAGGTGGGACTCAGGGTCCCTGCTGTGCCAGTGCCTTCCTTATCACAGGACTGTGTGGCTGATGGCCGGAAGGGTCCCCGAGGTTAGCCCGGCCCCTTTCCGACTGATCACTGTAGCGCTGCCCCAGGGTCCGCACGGAGCACTCTTCCCTCCCCCCAGGGCTCTGGCTGGGGCCCTGGCAGTGACCATGCGCCCTGCCCCACAGGGCGTGGTGTCTAAGGAGCGGAGCAGGGCTGTGGGAGAAGGGGTCTGGCACTGGCTTCTGGTACCCACCGTGGCAAGGCCTACGGGAGCTCCTCCTCTGTGAGACAGGAGCTCCTGCAGAGCGGCTGGGCCCAAGTCAGGACAGGCAGAACTGAGGGTGCTGCTGGGCCCTCTGCCAGCTTAGTGTGGGGTGAGGGCAGTGGGCTGTGGTTCCTTGGGGCTGAGGCAAGGTAGGGGCACAGGGCCAGGCCAAGAGCTGCCCGTGCAAAGAAGCCGGCCGTCAGCCTAGCGGGAAGCAAATTCACAGGGCATGTTTTGCAGGCTCAGGGGAGCAGGCGCGTGAACACAGCTATTGATTTCCCATCATACAACAGGAGGCGTCACTCTCCAGACCTGGTCAGGAGCTGCCTGGGCTTCGGCCCTCTGAGGCTCTGCCCGGAGGCTGGGAGGCTGCTCTCCTGCCAGCAGGGCTGGGTGGAGCTGGAGCCCCCTGCACACAGGGGGGCTCAGGCAGGCTCAGCAGGATACCACGGCTGTGCCGCACCCTGTGATGATCTTAGGGTTGCCTAGATACCATGAAGTGAGCCACAGACACCTGGACGAACACTGGGTGGGAGCCATAGGTGGCCTGGGCACTGCTTCGTGGGAATGGGAAGTTAGGCGGGAGACCCCGAGAGTACTGGCAGGGCTCCCCTCACTTCTGGGTCCCATATTCTTTGGGGTCCCCTTTGGAATGGGTGCTTCATCTTAGGAAGGAAATCAGGACTCTCACAGCACACACACAGCTGACCGTATCACGGTCAAGGATCTGCGGTCGCCCCTGGCCACAGGGGAACAGCTGAGACCTTCAAGGCCCTCCACGTACTGGCTGCTCCACTCCCCACCCCCAACCCCAGCTTGCTCGTCCTCGCTCCTTCCTCTGGCCTCCGAGCAGGTGCTGCTGGGAGCTTGCTCGCTGGAGGCTGGGGACGGTGCTTTTGCTCTGTGTTTTGGTTGCAGCTCCCCAGGCACCTAGGGAACCACTCCAAAGGTTGAGCCTGCATGTGCGCCATCTGGACGGGCGCACACACGATGGGGAACCCGAAAGTGCTTCTGACGGCAGCGCTGGCTGCTGCAGAAGCAAGTGGCTGCTCCTCACTTGGCTCCGGGCTAGAGGGGTGCGTTGCCTTTCTGATCAAATAGTATTCTGATGCTCAAGGCATCTTTGATGTTTGCAAGTCAGAAAAGTTTAATTACATGTGTCGTTAGGATGGCATTCTGTAATAGCTCTGCGACTGAATTCATTAACAGAATTCTTAACAGATAAGACAAGACAAATTAATATTTTGTTGCCCATGAAAGCTTCTCATTAAGAGAGCGGTGAGAAAGTGATTAATATTTTGTTGCCAATCAAGATGTCTCACACGAACGACAAAGGCAGGACGCCCGCACCTTTCCCTGCGCTTGCTTCTCCCGGCCCAGGCTTTGAAGACTCAAGTGCTTTCCCGTCTGCAGGGCGCCGGGGACTGTGGGGACCCAGCGGCCCTGGAATCACGGCCCCTTCAGTGCTGCCCTCCTGGGCTGGTCGCCCCTGACCAGTTCTTGCTTCAAAGATGCCCCAGGATTGCCAGTGACCTGGCTCCAGCCCTCTTCAGCCGGACACCTGCCAGGGCTGCTCTCACTGTCCCTAGTGGCGTTGCCACATAGGAAGACACACTGGGTGCTGGACACTGAGCAGGGGGCTTCACGCACGCATTCAGTCCCCAAATTCCCATGCAAGGAGGCCGCCATGCTCAGAGGCATGCAACAGCTTGCCCGGGGCTGCTCAGGATTACTGGGAGCCCGGGCAGTGTCTCTCTCCCCAGTGCTCAGAGGTGGACATGGACGGGGTGGCCCCCATTCCCAGCTACAAGCAGCAGGGGTTCGGGGTGCCTCAGTGGGGACCTAGGCTGCGAGGTGCTGAGAGCTTCCTGTAACAGCAGCCACAGTTCTGACACTCAGTGATGATGAGGTGTAAGAAGCAGCAGGTGGCGAATTCTAAATGCTAGGGACTGACAGCCACCTCTGCACATCCCCACCTCCCCCTGCAGGGGCCCGGGAGGCAGGCACTGCTCTTTATTCCCATCCCACAGAGGAGGCTGAAGCCGACAGCGCTGCGCTGGCCTTTCTATGGCTACTAACCTAGGCGGTGGCAGAGCTGAGCCTTAAACCCAGCACCCTGCGGCCCCAGAGTGTGCCGTTCATTAGCAGGCTGTGCCGGGGTGTGGTGTGTATGCTATGTGGTATGCGGTATGTGTGTGGGGTGTGTGGGGTGGGTGTGTGGTGTGTGGTGCATGGATGTGCAGTGTGTGTGGTATATGTGTGGTGTGTGGTGTGGTGTGTATCAGGGATATGTGTAGTGTTTATGCGTTGTGTGTGGTGTGTGGTGTATGTGATACATGGTATGCGGTATGTGTGTGGGGTGTGTGTGTGGGATGTAGTGCGTATGTGGTGTGTGGGATGTGGTGTATGTGTGGTGTGTGTGTTTATGTGCTATGTGCGTAGTGTGTGGTGTGTATGGGGTGTGTGTGTGGTATGTGGTGTATGTGTGGTATGTGGTGTATATGGTATGTAGTGCATGTATGTGGTATGTGGTGTATGTGTGGTGTGTGGTGTGTATGAGGGATATGTGTGGTGTTTATGGGTTGTGTGTGGTGTGTGTGATATGTGGTATGTGGTATGTGTGTGGGGTGTGTGATGGTATGCAGAGTGCGTGTGTGGTATGTAGTGCATGTATGTGCAGTGTGTGGTATGGGGGTGTATGGGGTGTGTGTATGGTATGTGGTATGTGCGTGGTGTGTGTGTGGTATGTAGTGCGTGTACGTGGTATGTAGTGTGGTATGTAGTGTGTGTGTGGTATGTGGTGTGTGTGTGGGGTGCATGGTGGTGTGCGGGGTGTGTGTGGTATGTAGTGCATGTATGTGCAGTGTGTGGTATGGGGTGTGTGTATGGTGTGTGGTATGTGCGTGGTGTGTGTGTGGTATGTAGTGTGTGTGTGGTGTGTGGTATGTGTGGGGTGCATGGTGGTGTGCGGGGTGTGTGTGTGGTATGTAGTGCATGTATGTGCAGTGTGTGGTATGTGGTATGTATGGGGTGTGTGTGTGGTATGTGGAATGTGTGTGGTGTGTGTGTGGTATGTAGTGCATGTACGTGGTGTGTGGTATGTAGTGCATGTACGTGCAGTGTGTGTGGTATGTAGTGTGTATGTGTGTGTGTGGTATGTGGTATGTGTGTGGTGTGTGTGTGGTATGTAGTGCATGTACGTGGTATGTAGTGTGTGTGTGGTATGTGGTATGTGGTATGTGTGGGGTGCATGGTGGTGTGCGGGGTGTGTGTGTGGTATGTAGTGC